CACCACACTCCACACCCCTCCCTCCCTCCCCCTCTACACCACACTCCACACCCCTCCTTCCCTCCCCCTCTGCACCACTCTCCACACCCCTCCTTCCCTCTCCCTCTGCACCACACCCACACCCCTTCCCTCTCCCTCTGCACCACACACCACACCCCCGTTCCCCCTCCCTCACACCACACTCCACACCCCTCCTTCCCTCCCCCTCTGCACCACACCACACACCCTCCTTCCCCTCCCCCCCCACACCACACACCACACCCCTCCTTCCCCCTCTGCACCACACCCACCCTCCTCCCTCCCCCTCTGCACCACACCCACACCCTCCCTCCCTCCCTCCCTCTGCACCACACCACACCCCTTCCCTTCCTCCTCCCCCACACCACACCCACACCCTCCCTCCTCTCCCTCTGCACCACACTCCACGCCCCTCCTTCCCCTCCCCCTCTGCACCACACTCCACGCCCCTCCTTCCCTCCCTCTGCACCACACACCACACCCCTCCTTCCCCTCCCTCTGCACCACACTCCACACCCCTTCTTCCCTCCCTGCTCTGCACCACACCCACATCCCTCCTTCCCTCCCCCCCCTGCACCACACCCACACCCTCCTCCCTCCCTCCCCACACACCACACCCCTCCCCTCCCTCCCTCCCTCTGCACCACACCCACACCCTTCCTTCCCCTCCCCCCACACCACACTCCACACCCCTCCCTCCCTCCCCCTCTGCACCACACTCCACGCCCCTCCCCCTCCCCCACACCACACCCACGCCCCTCCCTCCCCCCTCTGCACCACACACCCACACCCCTCCTTCCCCCTCTGCACCACACTCCACACCCTTTTCCCTCCCGCTCTGCACCACACTCCACATCCCTCCTTCCCTCCCCCTCTGCACCACACTCCACACCCCTTCCCCCTTTGGTATTATACGTTCATATGATAATACCTTCAGTCCCCCTCACTCCACTTTCTTTGTCTTGACTTTTACAGAAAATAGTATATATTATATTTTTTATTGTAGACTATAATATAAGTCACTTGTACCTGTTTTCAACATCACATTCGTATAAGGTTGGTTCATGGCGGGTAAAGTTGTGGAACAAATTGCTAGCGAGAACACTTGAGGTAAGAATGAGGACAAATAGAGAAAGGGAAAGTAAGACGTGCGGGTTTTATTGAGAGTTCCTCAAGTAGATGGCGAGAAGGTTAGGTTAGGTTAGGACTGGTTTTGTTTTGCTTTGCTTTGTTTTACGGGGAGTAGCCCACCCAGGCACAGGTCATCGACCCACAACGGGGCCTAGGGGGGGGGGCAGAAAAGGTAAGAGTAAAAATAAATAAAAAATGAGAACGTAAACATTAATCTACACCACGAAGATGCCGGAAAACCAGAATTTTGAAGTGAGACAACGTATGAGTATGGAAACACAGAAGAAGGCAGAGCATTCCACAGTTTGGCTGTGTGAGGAAGGAAGGAGGTACTATAACGGGTTATTCTAGTGTGACCGACACACACAGAGAAATGGTGGGCACCGCGGGCAAGACGTGTGTTACGAGCCCACGGCCTTGCCGGCGGTACACAGGATGCCAAATCCACCGAACATTGCCCGTTAAAGTACCTGTAAAAGAGAGAGAGTGAAGCAACATTGAGGCAAAGAGAAAGGGAAGAGAGGTTATCAACTAAAGGAGGAGAGTTAATAAGACGAAATGCCTTTGATTCCACCCTATCTAACAGTTGGACAGAAGAAGAGCCACCCCAGATATGAGAACAGTATTCCAAGTTAGGACGAATGAATCCCTTATAAACTTGAAGCAACTGCTCAGGAGTGAAGTAGCTACGGCATCTGTACAACATTCCCAGCTTTCAGAAGGCAGCTTTAGCAATGTTGTGGATGTGTGGCTTCCATGACATATTCGAGGAAATGGTGAGGCCTAGTATATCTGTTTTAGAATTCGGCAGAATGATTGCGTCCTGAAATGTGATTGGTGGGAGATCATCTAAGTTGGAGAGTGTAATTGGTAAATACTGAGTTTTATTACTATTGAATTTAACCAAGTTTCTGCCTCCCCATTCAGAGATGCTGCACAGATCCTTTTATTATAATACAGTAGTACAAATACAAGCAACAGTGATGTTTCTTAATTTGTGAAAAATATAGTGAAGACGGTGAGTCACAATGGTGGACGGATTATAGTAATCTTCCACCTACACCACCACCTACACCACCACCTACTGTACACTACCTACACCTTCACCTACACCACCACCTACACCACCACCTACTGTACACTACCTACACCTTCACCTACACCACCACCTACACCTCCACCCACACCACCACCCACAACACCACCCACACCACCTTTGTAAATGCGTTTCGTCATCTGTTTTCTCTGTATCTTTAACCTCTTCCCTTTTATCTCTCTCTCTCTCTCTTCATATATTTAATTTTATTGTGTTTTGTGTTGTCTTAAGTTCCGTGTATTTAACTTTATTTATTATATGTATGCCCCGTCGTATATATAGTGAGTTTTTCCTTGAGTAGTCGTCTGTTTATTCATAATTTTCATAAACGATCTAGATACTGGGATCAGCAGTAACATAGCAAGTTTGCGGATGACACCAAAATAGGGCGGCAGATTAATTCAGGGCAGGATGCAAATGCACTACAGGAGGATTTAAATAAACTGCAGGGGTGGTCTGAAAAATGGCAAATGTAATTCAACACCAGCAAGTGCAGTGTACTTAATATTGGAAGAACAAATACTGTCAATGTATACAGCCTTAACAACATCAACCTCGAGAAGTCGACCTGTGAAAGAGACTTAGGGGTACTTGTAAGCCCGGACCTGCGGCCTAGAAAACAGTGCGTTAATGTTCGAAATAAGGCAAACAGAGTATTGGGTTTTATATCTAGAAGTGTAAGTAATAAGAGTGCGGAGGTCTTATTGCAACTATATCTTGCGCTAGTTAGGCCGCACCTATATTATGCGGTCCAGTTCTGGTGCCCTTATTATAGAATGGATATCAATTCACTAGAGTCGGTGCAGCGAAGAATGACAAAAATGATTCCGGGACTTAGAAACCTTCCATATCAGGATAGGTTAAAGAAACTTAACTTGCATTCCCTAGAAAGACGAAGAGTGCGGGGAGATATGATAGAAGTATTTAAGTGGGTGAAAGGAATCAATAAAGGATATAGATAAAGTTCTTATAATATACGAGCAGGATAGGACTCGGAGCAACGGATTCAAGTTGGATAAGTTTAGGTTTAGGAGGGAGATAGGAAGAAACTGGTTCACAAATAGGGTGGTGGACGAGTGGAACAAGCTTAGCAACTTTGTAGTAAGTGCTGGAACTCTGGAAAGTTTTAAAAGGAGGCTAGATAGATTCATGGATGATAGAGAGTGGTAGTAACTCTCGACAGGAGCTGCCATGCACAGGCCAACCGGCCTATTGGAGACTCCTTATTTTCTTATGTTCTTGTTTGTTTTTTAGAGAGGTGGGTGTAAGTGTTTGGGTTAGGTTAGGTTAGATTAGGTTAGGCTCTTCAAGATAAAATAGTAGCTTGTATTTCTTTGGTATCACTTAACCTAACCTAACCTAACCTAACCTAACCTAACCTAACCTAACCTAACCTCCAAGTAACGATAAAGTGTTTAATCATCAGGTGAAATAATCTAGGGGGATTAATCGTCAGGTGATGTTATCCGGGTGAAAAACAAACTAGGTTACCAGAGAAAGGGTTTGTGTTTACTGAAGACAGGGTGGAGAAAGTTTGGGCTGTGTCACGGGAGGGAGAGCGGTGTTGTGTTTACCTCTGGTCATGTCAGCACCGAGGCTAAGTTCTTATCATCGTTCTTCTCTTCCTAGGTTAGGTTGGGTTAGGAGGTTAGGTTGGGTTAGGTTAGGTTGGGTTTGGAGGTTAGGTTAAGGGTTAAATTGGGTTAGATTAGGTTAGGGTGTTTAAGTATCACGCGGAATAAGATAGGGTGTGTATTCTTCAGGTGATCTGTAGCAACGTGTCATTTTCTGTCGTACAGCACATCGATGGAAAAATAATAATAATAATAATAATAATAATAATAATAATAATAATAATAATAATAATAATAATAATAATAATAATAATAATAATAATACAGTATTGGTGTTGGGGAAAGTCACACTACGTCACCAGGTCAAGACTTTCAACTCCGTCACATCCAGGGAAGACGCTCACTCACACACACACACACACACACACACACACACACACACACACACACACACACACACACACATACACACACACACTCAAATACACTGTTTGGAGACCTTATGTGTCAACAGCAGGTCCGTAGTGCCAACTGGAAGTGCCATTAGTTTTGAGTGCCTCGTTATATACACCGCGCTTTGCACCTGTAAGACTGTGCACTGTGCTGTAAGCGTTCATGATGGAGGGAGTGAACGGAGACAAGCTATTTTATTTATTCAAACCCAAATATACAAAAGTTGTATTATATTGTAATGAATATTTGCCCTAACAGCTTGAGTAGTTAGTGAATAAGTTATGCAATGTATGAGTGTATGACATTGATTTCTGTGGCAATTATTACGAAGTGGATACACATACTAGAACCTTATATGGTCTGCCTGAAGATTACACCCACAAGATAAACATCCTAACACTTGTCTAACTTTTCTTTACCTAACGTAACGCTGACCTATCTTCACCTGACCTAACCCTTCCAAGTAGCGTTAAGGTGTTTAATCTTCAGATAAAATAAACTGGGGACTAATGTTCATGCAATTCCTTTATTGTATTATTGAAAATATTACTTGTGTCAAAATCAAAGAAGAATCTCATGAGCTTCCTTTCTTTCTGTCTTGGTGTACAGGATGAGAATGGAAGTGATGGAAGTGGTGGTGGCAACGCTGGTGGTGGTGGGTGGGCGCCTTTGCCTGCCCCGCCAGCCGAGCAGAACCTGGTTGCAGGAGGAGGGCCGTGGTAGCCCACATTGCCCATGGCTGATACAGGTAGCGAGGGCAAGATCCTGAAGAGAGAGGTGAGTCAGTACTTTGGTTTGCTCAAGTCCCTCTGACAGATACACTTGGAGTTTTAGACCCTCGTAATATTTAGACTCTTCCTTAGTAGATATATTATATAAAACTATTAGATAACTGTCATTGTCTACAGCATCTAATCTATCATTGTAGTCTCAGAGCAATTCAGGCGCTATTTTGAGTATTTCTGAGGCGCTTCTATTTAGTGACGCATCTCTTGAGAAAGCAACCACTGGTTAATATTATCACAAGATCTAATGATAATTCATCTCTTATTTATAGCATCGACACTGTGACTACCTTAAACCAGGTTGGGTTGGGTTGCTGGGTTGTGATTGCTGGGTTGTTGGGTTGGGTTGGGTTATGTTAGTTGGGTTAGGTTAGTTGCTGTTGGGTTGTTGTTGGGTTGGGTTGTTGTTAGGTTAGTTAGAGCTGTCGAGCGCCACAGCTCACCCTTCTCATGTCGACAGGTGGAGTACGAACTCATCACCATCCCAAAGAACCTGTTGAAGCGGAGTCGTCAGATCGCCCAGCTGTATGGACCTCCTACCAACAGGTACCCAACCCAACATTGTTTATTTACATGTGGGAAATATTTGTCTACTTCTCTGATTTTGTCATAATTGTGTTTGTTATAATATTTAATGGTAGTAGGCAGCTATCAAACAGGGAGGTACTACCGCCTGGGAATATATTGACATAATGTGTTGTCTAATGGTAGACCCTGCTGCCATATGGCATCACGAAAATTGTGACCAAATTCCAAGTTGATGATCTGACTCTGCCTCATTTACACACAATTGCAGGGTCTCAATTGGTTCTCTTACTATTGACAAAACATACATATATTGTTTCTCACTATTGATCTTTTTGTTATGTTTTTATTTATTTATTTATTATTATTACAGTGTTGTTATTATTTTTTTTTTTTTTCTTTTTTTTTCATTATAAATTTTATTTACTATGAATTATTATTATTATTATTATTATTATTATTATTATTATTATTATTATTATTATTATTATTATTATTTAGATTAGATTGTTCCCCCGAGGGGCTAGTTTATTGAACCCCTACATCCTGCAAGGTGAAGCGCAGAAGGTTTACAGCGTCCAACAGGGAAGCATGCGGAGTCCATGCTTGCCTTATGACTCATGCATTATGTAAAGGACTGAAGGGTCATGGGTTTTGCAGAGTTACATAAAGTACAGAATGATGAGTGTGGGGGAATTCTAACAATTTACCTGTTTATGATTTCCTTTTTTTTTAGTTTAACAAATTTATTGACAAAGCTTGGTACAGTTTGCCTATTCTGAGTAATTCAGCAGTTCTGACACTGAGGGTGGTATCACTTCACTGCCACGCAGGACAGAGGTCACAAAGAGATACATCATATTCATTAACAGGGTCAGATTCATGTGGGTGATGTCACTGTTCGCTGCCATGCAGGACAGAGGTTCATATACGTTGGACGTCATATTCTAATTGAGGACTAATCAGTGTGGGCCAGCAGCAAATTTGGGATAAAACAGCAAGAATGTCCTCAAGCACCCCTGATTCAATGTAGAAAATTACAAAGTTCATGATACAATAAGCCAGGTGGCCTGAAGTCTTTGACAGTGTCACATTCAATAATATAGTGTTCAAGTATATGCTTTAAAGGTTTATCACAGTTTACATACCGTGTGTCCGGTATGGCAGCATATACAACTTGCCAGATGTGTCTGTATCCCAGCCTCAATTCTGGCCACGACTACATCACATTGTCTGGTTCTGTCCTTATGCTGGCCATACCGGTACCTCTTGTCACAAAACCTTGTCATATTTACTAATGCTACACCTGCCAGGTCTCTGCATTTCTCAGTTCTTCTATATCAGAGTTCATGATTCTGACTTGAATGTTTTTATGCAGCATTGGACAGACCAAGGTCACAGTCAACATTTTCTTTCTTACATGCCCTATTGGCCAGTCTGTCAGCACGGTCATGATACCTGATTCCAACATGGGACGGAATCCAACAAATTCGATACGAAAGTTGTTCTCATTGGCAGTTACCATTCCTTTTAATATCACATACAACGTTAGACATAGAGCCTGACGGGCTGTTCATTGATTTCAAAGCACTAGAGTCACAGAATATCACCCAACCTCCATTTTCTTTAAAGTCTGTAGCTAAGAGATTCCAGTTAGTTCAGTTTGTGTTGTGCTGGCCCAGTTGTTCAGCCTTGCTTGTTTTGACACTATCATCTCTTTTCCTTTACAATTGCACAGCCTGTTCTACCTGTGTTTGTCTGCACAGAACCACCAGCAAAAGCATAACATTTACTTGATTTAATACTCTATGTGTCTGTTAATAGTTTCTAGTGTGACACATCTCACCACATCGGTGTTTAACATTTGCTTACTACCAACAGGAGTGTAATTAATAGGAACTGATATGTCCAGCCAAGGAGGAATGGCATTAATAGGTTCGTCTGGGTGATTGGGACATTCAGTTTCAGGAGATCTGCAACACTTTTATAGCCACGTCCCAAAGAGAGTCTTTTGTGAAGGTTAGCGAGATAGTCGGGAATTTTAATAGAACAACAACTCAGTTTGAGCTGTAGTTTGGGACCATTGTTCTTCAAAAGTTTGACACGAAAAATATGTAGATATAGAGCTGTCCTCTCAGATAGAGAGAGGGCAGCCTGAGCTCTTTTCTCATGCTACAATTTGGTTGATTTTGGGCACCTAGAATGATGCGCATGGTCCATTTTGCACTACCTCAAGGCTGTTGGAGTTGTTTAGGCGGGTCACAAGATGGAGAGCATAGTCAACTAAGGGAGAAGGGATATCTGGTCAGGAGGGAAGAGGGCAGTAATGGCTGGGACCTGTAGGAGGAGGTCAGGACAAGTGAGGATGTAGTGAGGAGAGGGTGTGAGCGGCTGGCTGCCAAAGTTTACAAATAGTGCAGGCCCAGGGTTGCTAATGTACCAGGCGTGGCGAAGCACAGTGGGGGTGTAGGTGATATGGTGTGGTGGGACAGGCACAGAGGGGGTGGAGGAGCACATAGGAATTGACAATATTTAGTGTGATTGTGATGGCGTGTGCGTCGACATGCTGGTGGGGGTACAGGTAGCCAGGTGTCCCTCAGGTCCAATATTATTCATTTTCGCCCCCAGGCCCTGATGCGGGTCAGTGACCTGTTCCCAGGTGGCTAACCTGTAAAAAATAGCAAGTTGTTAAAAGATTATATTTTGTTGGTATTATTTTCTTTATTTGTTTGTCCTATTCTTCTTCCTCTTCTTCCTCCTCTTCTTATTTCCCTTTGTCTCACATTCTTTAGTTTTCTTCCTTCCTTCCTCTTCCTCCTTCCTTCCTTTTTACCATTCCTCTTCCACCTATTCCTCCTCCTCCGACTCCTTCTCTTCCTCATCCACATATACCTCTTCTTCCTCTTCCTCTCCCCATTACCCCATCTTCCACTCCTTCTTTACCACCCCCCCTCCCCCCTCTTAACCCTCGTCTCTTCCTATCCTCCTCTTACCCTCCCCCTCCTCCTCCTCCTCCCATTCCTCCCCTTCCTCCTCATCCGCCTCCTCCTCCTTTCTACCTTCCTCCCCCACCCCCCCCTCTCCGCCCCATCAATAAACTCCCCACTAATATACGGCATTCACTTTCCTCCCCAGCTTCTCATCCTCGTCAGGGGACAGTGGGGCGACCTTATCGTTGAAGAGTAAGTGGCCGTGAGGGCAAGAAGTGGCTGGGTAGTGGCAAGAATGCGGCTGGGTAGGCAAGAAGTGGCTGGGTAGGGCAAGAAGTGGCTGGGTAGTGGCCGGGTAGTGGCAAGAAGTGACTGGGCAGTGGCAAGAAGCAATCTGGGTAGTGGCAAGAAGTGGCCGGGTAGTGGCAAGCAGGCGGCTGGGTAGTGGCTGGGTAGTGGGCAAGAAGTGGTCGGGTAGTGGCAAGAAGTGGCTGGGTAGTGGCAAGAAGTAGCTGGGTAGTGGCAAGAAGAAGCTAAGAAAGGGCAAGAAGTGGCTGGGTAGTGGCAAGAAGTGGCCGGGGTAGTGGCAGAAGTGGCTGGGTAGTAAGTGCTAGAAGTGGCTGGGTAGTGGCCGGGTAGTGGCAAGAAGTGGCTGGGTAGTGGCTGGGTAGTGGCAAGAAGTGGCCGGGTAGTGGCAAGAAGTGGCTGGGTAGTGGCTGGGTAGTGGCAAGAAGTGGCCGGGTAGTGGCAGAAATAGTATGCTGGTATGTACAGTAGTTGTAAGAACTAGTGTCGTGGCAAGGAGAACTGTGCTCCTCCTTGATGGCAAATACTTATATAGGGTGGCTCAGAAATATGTCCCTGCCTACCTGCCTACCTGCTCCCTGCCTCCCTCCCTGCCTACCTGCTCCCTGCCTACCTTCTTCCCTTCCTGCTTACATGCCCCCTGCCTTCCTTCCTCCCTGCCTCCCTCCCTGCATGCCCCCTGCCTTTCTTCCTCCCTGCCTGCCTGCTCCCTGTCTCCTCCCTAAGACACAGTGAGTTGGAGGAAGGGAGGCAGGCAGGGAGGGAGGCAGAGAGGGAGGGAGGCAGGCAGGAAGGGAGGCAAAGAGGGAGAGAGGCACGGAGGTAGGGAGGCAGGCAGGCAGGGAGACAGGGAGGGAGGCAGGCAGGGAGGGAGGGAGGTAGGGAGGGAGGGAGGAGGGAGGGGGAGGGAGGGAGGGAGGGAGGCAGGCAGGCAGGCAGGGAGGCAAGGAGGGAGGGAAGGAGGCAGGCAGGCAGGCAGGCAGGCAGGGAGGGAGAGGAGAAAGAGAGGGAGGGGAGGGAGGGAGGAGGGAGGTAGAGAGAGAGAGAGGGAGGGAGGAGGCAGGCAGGGGAGGGAGGGAGGGGAGGGGAGGTAGGCAGAGAGGGAGGCATGGGAGGGGAGGGAGACAGGGGAGGGAAGGGGAGGGGAGGGAGGGAGGGAGGCAGAGAGGGGGAGGCAGGGGTAGGGAGGGAGGGAAGGAGGGAGGGGAGGGAGGGAGGGGAGGGAGGCAGGCAGGCAAAGAGGGGAGGCAGGCAGGGAGGGAGAGACAGGGAGGGAAGGAGGGAGGGAGGAGGTGGGGGAGGCAGGGCAGGGGTACGGGGAGGGAGGGGAGGGGAGGAAGGAGGGGAGGGAGGTAGGCAGGGGAGGAGGGGAGGAGGAGGAGGATGGGAGCAGGTGGGAGGAGGGGAGGCAGGCAGAGGAGGGGGAGGGAGGGAGGGAGGAGGGAGGAGGCAGGTAGGGGAGGGAGGGGAGGGAGGGAGGCAGGGAGGGAGGGAGGGAGGAGGGGAGGGAGGAGGCAGGTAGAGAGGGGAGGGAGGGAAGGGAGGGGGGGAGGGAAGGGAGGTAGGCAGGCAGGTAGGGGAGGGGAGGGGAGGGAGAGGGTGGTGGTGAAGGGAGGTAGGCAGGCAGGGAGGGAGGGGAGGGGAGGGAGGGAGGCAGGCAGGGAGGGAGGGAGGGGAGGCAGAGAGGGGAGGAAGGAGGGGAGGGAGAGAGGGAGGTATGGAGGGAGGGAAGGGGAGGGAGGGAAGGGAGGTGGGGAGGGAGGGGAGGGAGGAGGGGAGGGAGGG